CCTTCTATTCACCTGGCTGGTTCACAGTCTCGGCCGCGATCCCCGCGAGTCCATGCAGGTGATTGCATTGTGGATATGGCTCGAACAGGTAGGGCAATGTCGTTATTTGGTGGCTAACATGTTGAAGTGGCCTGCTACTCTAATCACTTCGTTGGCTGATGAGGCTGTTTTAGTGTTGACTTGTATTGAAAGTAACGAAAAAACTATTGACGATGTTCATGATGTTCCTTTAACTCAACGAATGACAAAAGACGGAGTTTCTTTAAAGTATTTTCATGAGAATCGCCTGGCCATCATTCATGGAGTTACAAGGAACATTAATGATGTCTGCTCCAAGGCGTTTGTAGATGTTTTGCCAAATGTATTATTGCCTACTGTTAATGATATTGGTGTTCAGAGATCCCTTTTGAGGAGTGATGAAATGGTTGAGATGTTGAGGCGTCTAGCAATAACTAGTAGCAGTGATGAGCAAGAGATGAACAAGGAAGAAGTAGTACCACAAGATGAGAGGACGATTTTCTTGACTTTTTCAAAAGGATACCCGATTTCAAAAAATGAAATCAAAGACTTCTTCACAAGGTAAGCAATAGTTAAAATTTTATAAATATGAACTACATATACTCTATAGTTAAATCTTTAATATTTATTTATAATATTTTATTTAATATACTTATAGTTATTTTTGAAGTATTTCGTATTTTAAAAATATATTATAGCAGTGTTGAGTGTGAAAAATTTTAAACACAATAGGAGAATAAAAAATTCGGTATATGTATATATGAAATTCGGTTAGAAAGTTAAGGAGGGGTAAGGAGAATTTTTTTTTTTTTGGGTGGACGGGGGGTGTCCGAGCCAGCATGCGGACACCGTTATTAGTGTTTGGGGAGACTCGAACTCAGGAAACTCATATTGAATCCTTTTGCTCTTTTACTATTACGTCATCCAGTGGTGGTTAATAAAGAGAGAGAAAGAATATTACTATCACTTTCTTAGAGAGATTCATATGTTGTTGTATTACACATAAATTTATACTTATATGCAAGAACATTAATTGTCAACTTATTACAATTATGGGGGCTTGTGTTGAATCAGAAACTTCGGGGAGTGCATTGAAACAATATACATGCAAGAAGCTGCAGCAGTAGAGCAGCCATTATATGCACGTCTTGTAGTGTATTCAGCTTCAGTGATGGAAGTGGTGCTTGATGGTCAGAGCAAAGCAAAATTCTCCATTAACGGAAAGCATGTTTGGGCCAGAAAATTTGTACGTAGAAACCATAAATCACCACCACGCTCATAATATTAATCTCCATCATCAAATTAGACTAAACTGTATTGTATTTTGAGTACTACTACTTTTATGCCTGTTGGATTGAAATTTGAGTACTGTAATAAATCAATGATCATAGAAGCTTTAAATTTATGTTCAACTTCTTTACTCAATTCACTATTTACATGAACCAAAATGGTCCAATTTGATGATGATTTGTTGAAGTAGTAGCAAAACTTGAGGAGTAATATACAGCAACTATGACCTTAGGTCCTGACTTCTTGCATCGTTGGAAATTACTGCTAATGCAAAGTCCTCTGGAAAAGGTCGTAAAGAGATATAACAATTTCGGCGCTAATCAATATGATGATGAGCCATTCCAAAAAATCTGATTTCCGGTTCTGAAGAATTTCCTGAAGAAAGCGAATATTGTGCTGCAAAGACAAAGACATCAATAAAACCGTTATTTCAGGTTGAAGACAATTCACAAATGATGATATCAAGAGTTGCTAAACTTCCCAGCAAAGAACAGTATATATATATATATATACCTCTACAAACTTCAACTTAAAATCAAGACTGGCAAATCTCTGTGTCAATTCGAATTCATCTCTGAGGTATTCCCATATCTGAGCATATTTGGCATCCTTCCAGGCAATGTCTGATCTGTAAAAAAAACAACAAAACTTTAATTGCACAGTAATACTGGTGGTTTTGTGTCAGTTGAAAAATCATTACCTTTCAAAAAGACCAAGCTTAAGAATCACATCAGCGAGATTAGAATTTGCCTTTCCCACCAGTTGAAAAAGTTTTTTGCTTTCCATGGTGAATGTTCCAGTTTTTTCCATTCCACGGTTTATGTCAGTGAATTCTGCAACCATTCCATCAACCTAAGAGAAGAAAAGATTTCTAAGCAATATTAACAAATAAAATTTTTTACTCAATAAACACTTCTAAGATGAAATGTTCATACCTGGCGGACATAGTGGTCAAGAGCAATACTTTGACCTAGAACACTACCAATTATACGGATTCCATCAATGTTCAAGTACTGTAACATAATATGATCCAATCCTCCTAGCATCCATGTGCTCAAAGTTGGCTTCTCTATCACCTCATACTCTGCAGTTTAATGAATAATTAAGATAAACAAAAGACTCCAGTTCCAACAATTCATAAAATGACCTTTCCTCTCTTATTCTTAATTTTACAACAAGCTGTATATTATCATTATAACTAGGCTTCACAGATACACAATACATCTATGACTTTCACGTACGTAATCTAGATTGAGGGGTTCTATAGATGTTTATCTCTTCAAATCAACTAGATAAAACAACTTTTTCTATTCAAATTTAATATATTCAAGATATGAAGAACTTTCATCTCATCCTAATCTGTATTACCATCATAACACTATGTGTGTGAGTGTGAGCTTATAAAAGAGATGTGGAATGGTAATTTGAGAACTAATATAAATGAGTTTATGAGGTCTTACCGTCCTTTCTCATTTCCGAAAGTAAACCTGATGCATATCTTTCCACAATTTTTAGATACCTATCCACCTCATGTTCAGAAACATTAAACAAGACAATGGATCCATACTGGAAAACTACCATGAAGCAGCAGTTGCTTCCACTTATGCAAGTACCCATACCCTGGAACAAGGAATTTTACACTCTCTTAGTAAGAAATACAACTAGATGTACCATTTATAGCCAAAAAAGGCAGAAAGTGCTAGCCTAAATACAACACTAGGATATCCAGAGGAACCATAAATTGCACTAGTTGAAACTTAACTGTATTTTTTTTTTTTTTTAAACAATAAATACAACAAGATCCATCATTTAGCAAAACAAAGAATTGTTGGGTAAATTACAGAATAAAAATATTTAAAGGAACTAAATTCCAATGCTTGGAATATGGTACCTAGAATTTTCTTTTAGAAATAACTTGAATAAGTAAATGTTGATTCCTTTAGTTGACAGAAAAAAGAGATTTTTTCACTCTAAATTAAGTCCCTAATTCAAAATAAATATAATAATTCTTCTTATATACGGATGTGAGTTGGGGGTTGTTATCTTCTTCATTCTGGGCATTATGTCCATCACTCTACATCTCCCTACAAGATTGTATGATATTTTTCACTTTAACCCCATTTGAAGATTTCAAAAAGTGTTCATCCACCAACATTGAGATAAGTAACAACCATGGATAAAGAGTTAATAAACAAGCAAAAGTATCCCCTCTACACGCATCGTTGGTCTTAACCAACAAATGCAGCCAACAGTTAAACTCAATTTGAAGTATATAGGTAAACTTAATAGAATACAAATCTTGAAAACGACCATAGGGGATTATTTCAGTTCAAATTTTGTAGCTCACTAAATCTCAGATTTATACAGAACTAAAATTTTCAATATTTTAAAAAGGGTCCGACTCTACAATAACAGTTAACAACAGTAGTAATTTAATATTAAAAAGTGCATGCCTGGTAAGCATCTAATGCATTCAAACATATAAGTTCCCAACAACTTAACATCAATACTTATAAATCAACATAGCATAATCAAACAGAAACGAAAGCATTATATTCCCTACTCAAAATACATTAACTTACGTTGAAATCCGAAAAATTGCCGAATCTTAAAACAACATAATTAGTCATACGCGATGTTGGTGGTATAAAATTCCGTTTGTTCTGTTCCACTAAGCTCCTCAAATCCACACTACACCAAAACATAACAACAACAATTAGACACATTTTGCAATTCCATATTATTCATGAGCTTGGGATAAAGTTTAATTTCCAAAAATTAACTAATTTGAGGAAATTGCAGGCAAACCTAGTGGAGAAAAAATAGGCCTTAACAGGAATTGAAGTCTTAGGGTCGTCCTCCACGCTACTATTGTTCCCGCCATCTCCAACTTCAGAGCACGGAACTGCGTCGTTCCAGTTAACCACCGGGTGAGGCTGGGCTGAGGAAGCCGAAGATACGCATCTAACAACCAGCGAACTGAACTCCGAGGTGAAATTGAAATGTGAAGAAAAAGAGAAAGAATACGAATAAGTTGTTCGGAGAGTTAGGGTTTTAAGAGGAGATAGAGTGAGTAGCCACCGCCGATGGTGGTGGTAGTAGCGGTGGGGTGGTGGTTGCGGAATTTGGTTAAGAAATGTACGGATGGGCTGCACCTGCCCTCGGATGGTGCGCCACATTTTTTTTTTCTGTTTTTTTAAGGGTGGGTTTTGGGATTTTACTGAAAATATGAAGCGTGGAGAAAAGTAGGGTTATCCGGTTATGTCGTTTTAGTATGAGCGAAACGACAACAAGAGAACCTCTGTAGTGTTTGAGAAAATTTAGCTGATGGGCCATCCCAAGTTTGGATTTAAAAAAATGGTCTTGAAACTGTTTACTATTTTTTTTATTTAGAGAAGCTGACGTGACACAGTTAGGATCCATTAAACATGTAAAATAGATTAAAATGAAAAGATTAAAACATATAAGGACAAAAATAATTAATGAAAGTTTTTAAAATTTAAAATTTACAAAAGAGCCCCAAATATTCAAATCGCTTAATCGAAACCAATTAAGACAAAAATCAATATCTTCAATCCCTAAACGCATCTTAGCATTTTCTGGCGATAACAGTCCACATTCCGGCGATAACAGTCCACATTCCGGCCAATTTTCACACCCAAATTCAATCCTAAAGCTTCTTCCTTTCTTAAAACTATGGCTGACATTAACAATGAGGAGGAAAACCCAACGCCTCTTCGAATCGTAGAGTCCGGCCGCGTAAGCAGTTCAATGGCTGCTCTGGTGGATCCTCCGATCAGTGAAGGTGTTCCAGTAGCGGAGACGACGGTGGCACAACAAGAGAGAGAACAGAAGCAAAACGGTTCTGAAGAGGAAGAGGAGGCCGGGCAGAATTCAAGCCAGGAAGAGGAGTCCGGCGACAGTTCAGAGGAGGAGGAGGAGGAGGAGGCCGCCGAAGAAAAGGTATTTGTACTTGCTGAGACCTAAGATCGCTTTGTATCGCTTAAGCGATTGATGGCTTTTACTCTTGGTCGCTTAAGCTATTTTGGATTGCTTAAGAGTAAAAGCGATGAATGGCTTAAGCAATATAAAAGATCGCTTAAGCAATCTTAGATCTGGTAGATGTTGATTCTGCCTCGTACAAGATCTCTTAAGTGATCTGTAATTGCTTAAGCGACCAAGAGTAAAAGCGATGAATCGCTTTTACTCTTGGTCGCTTAAGCGATTTAAGATCGCTTAAGCGATCTCCTCTGAGGCAGAACCAAATCTGCCCATATCTATAATCTCTTAAGCGATCCTTTGCGATTTCAGATCGCTTAAGAGGATCTTGTCGGGGCAGAATCATCTGCCCATTGCTTAAGCGATTCTTCCGGAGCGTATTTTGTTTATATTTGATTGGTTTAATTTTTTGCTGATATTTTGTTTATATCGATTGTGTAGATTTTTCGGAGCGTAAACTAAAAGAGTACGATGGAGGTTGTAAGCGATACGGTACCGTACTTCCCTGTGAGGGTGACAGTGAGGTCAAGTTGGATGTTTTAACAAGAATAACGGGGATTTTAGGGACAGGGGAATGGTGAAAGAGATTCAAGAGACTTGTTTCAGTCATTTTGGGATATGGACACAAAAGGAAAAAGACATTCTGGGGTGTCGGGAGTGCATTATATGTTCTGCACTCAATAAAAGCAACAAAAAGCACGAAATGTGGTTCATGGTGGATGGAAAGCAGTACATTTCGGGATGATGGAATATGCGTTGGTGACTAGCTTAAGATGTGGGGAATTGCCAGGGGGTTGAGGAAAACGAAATAACGGACAGTACGGAGACAAAAGGTTGGCTAACAAGGTTTTGGCGGGGAACAAGTCTATTAAGGCACAGGAATTAGGGATAGGTTAAAAGATGGTGAGTTTACGATTCAGAGATGTTCAAACTGTGCTTGGTATTGTTCTTACATTCGATCCTAATGCCTAGTGACTCAACAAAAGCCATTGATGATTGGGTGAAGTTAGTAAGCAACTTGAACTTCTTTAATGCTTATCCGTGGGGACGGGTATCATTTAAGAACCATGGAGTCCCTGCAAGCAAAAGACCTGGCGTTAAAGCACTCGCAAGGGCTGAGAAGAAAAGATCGGCGACGTACAATTTGTTGGCTTCCCATGGGCAATGCAGGTAAATATTAATAACTTTTTGTTATATTTTTTTTAATATATGTGTTTGAATTATGATATGACTGGTTTTTTACAATGTAGGCTTGGATGTATGAGCCATCCCTGTCCTGGCTAAGGCAGGGGGGAGATTAGGGCTTCGGTTGTGCAACATACATTTCCTAGGATGTTACGGTGGCACGACCAGAAGTGACCCATTCGGATTATGAGCAATAGAGATTGAAATTCAATCACTCGGGTAAGATTAAAGGATTAAGCTTGAACATGCACTTACTTTAAAATGTCGATTAAATCTGATTGATTTTGTTTCTTATTGCAGGGGGTTGTCCGTCCCTTCCTCACCGCTACTGGGGGTGAAGCGCAACAGCACTATGTCACATCTTTCCGAGCACTGGAGGATCAAAAGGATGAAGGGATAGACCACTGCGCGGGACCTACAAGGGTCACACATGTGAGGCAGTTGCAGGGCCACTGCTTGAGAATGTGGTTGACGCCGAGGAGGATGAAGGCGCAATGTGGGAGGGAGGGGAGGGGAGGGGGAAGAGTGTATGCCTCAGCAAATTGGTACAACAAGTACCGCTTTGCCGAGCGTCGGGGTCGGAGAGTGAGGTGGTTGACCTCATAAAGAGTTTGTTTGATAAATGGAAGAGCAGTTGAAAAGGGTGGAGGAGAAAGTGGATAGGGTGGCAGAGAAAGTTGTTAGGTGGATGAGGAAGTTGGTAGGGCAGGAGGAAGTTGGTGGAGTATTGAAGGCAGTTAAAGTGCAACCTAGGCTGAAAAGGGAGAGCCGAAAGAGCAGGTTTGTGAAATCGCCTTCACCATACTAACACATCATAATTAAGAGGAAAACAAGAAACCAATTGAGGAGAAGCCAAAATTGAGAGGGTTAAAGAGGTTTCTGGATGAAGTGGGGCAGTTATAATGGAGAAGGTTGAGGCGGGAGGCGAAGGAAGCGGGGATGTACAAATGGAGGAAGGGGGAGGAAACAGGCAAGCAAAAATGGAGTCCACTGTCGATTTGTATGGCCATAGAGGGGAAAAGAAAAAACCCTTCTATGCCTATTACAATGAATCCGGAAGTGATGCCCTTGTAAAGTGTAAGACCGGGATCATTCTCGGGATTGGTTTGAAAAGATTTTAACATGGGCAGCTGGCTTCACGATTTGGTGAGTTATTTCGCTTAATTTTCCTTATTTTTGCTTATATTTTCCTTGAGGTATTGCATACTTATCATGTTTTTTTATTGATGCAGCACATCGATGATGTATTGGCATTGATGAGGCCGCGACAAACTAGCAATGGTGATCTAACTGTATCCTGATTGTGCGCATCACCGATGTGGCCTTTGGCTAAACACTGGTATCGACATATCGCAATTTATTGAAAAAGGCATGGGTACATCGTAGCAAAGAGCCAAGCGAAAACGATCGGGCACAGAAGACTTGGACTGCGTCCCTAATGATTAAGTTTGATGACAGATGATGCAGTATGAATGGGGGACAGGCCCAAATATGGCCACAGTGGGCAAACGTTAAAAGTGTCTGCTGCATCATCCTGGTCAAGGAAATGCACTGGATAACAATCGTTGCGCTCTTAGAGGAGAGGTGCTAAAATCTTTGACTGCAACCCAACAATTTGTCGAGACAGCAGTTGGAGGCCGAGTTGGAGGCACTGTCCGTGTTGTTCCCGCGGTGTTATACGAGAGCGGGAGTTTGAGCACCTCGGTGATGAAGCATTGACGGCAAAGTGGCCACTCAAGTGCGTTCCCGTCCCAACAAATGAGTCAAGGTAAATTTTGTATAAAACTAACTTACATAATAGAATTGTTGTATAAGCTGATTCTAATGCTAATGTCATCTTCCTATTGCAGTGCTGATTGAGGGGCATATGCCCTGAAATTTATTCAGTTCGACATGACCAACAACCCGATGGACGGATTGAATGACGAAACAATGACCATCTTTCGGAGGCTAGGTGATGCGTGTTTCTTACAACATGCAAAACTAGCAAGTGCACTAGTCGCTCAAGTATAAAATGATGGGTAGGATATCGTTCCCACGAGGACTGTTAGCAAAGCACAAGTTCCTAACGTTATCAAGTTGAAGCAATCGAATTCTTTGGATTGGGGAGCAAATTGTAATGAAAAACAACAATGAAATAAACAAGAAGTAATCTTAATTAAGAAAAAGATGAAACACAGGAAAATCAATTCAAGCAAAAGGGTGGTTTTGACTTCGTTGGACTTTAAGGGTTAACTTAAATTACACTATATTCACATTCATGCGCAATGGTTGTAAATCGAATTCACTAATATGTTAAACATACCCTCTCGGGCTATGTTTTCCTATTCATCCTTATAAACATTCCGCACCCAACAAATTGAAGGTTATAATTCTAAATTCATTAAGCACAAGAATCCTAAATTGATTTCATTATTCTTGAATCTATCTCTAGCATCCAATACTATAATGGTGATTACCCACGAAGCCTACATGAATTATTTTCAATCTCATCATGTTCTCACATACAACATCAATTTAGAGTAACACACAACCAAAGCTTATTCATATGGAATTAACACAATCAATACTTAACCCATTTAAATCCAAACTACAATCAAAACCCTAACCCATAAAGATTGTTCATAACTAATAATACTACAAAACGAAAAACAGAAATAAACAAGTTAAACATAATGAAACTGAGATGAAAGATGAGAAATCTCCCCAAAAGATGAATCTTCTAGAAAATCTGAATCTTCTCTCTAAACAATCCGAAAAACTCAAAGCTTACTCTAAGAAAGAAAAAAAAACGGCTAAACCTAAAAAGCTCAAGATTCTTTGGCAAAAGGTTAAGTTTTTTTTTATACTTAGTCCAAAACCCAGCCAAAACACGCACAACACGAAAACTGTGCGTTTGACAAAACTGAATAAATTGACTGTCGCCGCGGCGAAGAATGAAGAAATCCCAATCTCTCTGGCTTACTTCGCCGCGGCGAAGACAATTTCTTTGCCGGGGCGAAGCTCCTTGAAAAGTTCTGAAATTACAAACTGCCACTCTGCTTGCTTCTTCGTTCGATTCTTCGAATCTCGGCTTCTTCCT